AACTCTACATTGTATTTTTGTCAGTAATTATTCTAATACTAACTATAAAGATTAAAAGAAAAAGAAACCCACTTCAAAAATCACACATTTCCCCCCATGTTTTAAAATACTGCAAAATTATTTCAACAGAAATTTTATGTGCTCAATGCTTTGCTGATTACTACAAAGAAGTTGTATAACTGAAACTTTAAGAAGCTTATGGTTTAAAATAAACACAAGAGATATGAAGAACATATTAAAATGAGAATATTGAAATTTAAAAAGCCCATGATTTAAGCCAACAAAATACATTTCAAATACATACATACTTATAGGTTGACAGAAGTGCTTGCTGGCCAAAAGCTCTGGTTCTTAGGTCAGATAGACCTGGGTCTGAATGTTGGCTCCTTCACTAATTAGCAGTTTGATTTTGGACAAGTTACTTAACCTATGTCTCAATTTCCTAATCTGTAAAAATAGGATAATAATGTTAAACTCATAAGTTTGTGAGACTAAAATGAGATAATGTATATAGTTTATTACCATATCTGGCATACATTAATTCTCAAAAATGTTAGCTATCATTATCATCATCACTACATTATTATTAAAAAGGTCCTGTAAGATAGAACTGCTAGTGTGTGTGTGTGTGTGTGTGTGTGTGTGGAGAGAGATGTGTGTGTGTGTGTGTGTGTGTGTGTGTGTGTGAGAGAGAGAGAGAGAGAGAGAGAGAGAGAGAGAGAGAGAGAAAAGTGGACCCAGTACACAGAAGTTATTATAATGAGCGTAAGGGCCTCCTGGAAGGAAAAGAACAGAAACCTTGAACTTCTTCCTAATATTACAAATTACTCAAACCTGTCAGGTAATAGCAAAAAAAAAAAAAGAACGAAAGCCCATCTGATGACATTAAAAGAGAAAAAGACAAACCCGCTATTCCAAGTGTCCTGTCCAACCATAAGTCCATATGGGACCATGAGGAAGTAACTAAGAATTGAATGAGTTGGAATGATGAAAATCCAGGTCAAGTTTAAAGTACAACACTCTTGGTTTACCATAACTGGGTTATTTTGCTTGCTTGTTTGTTTGGTTTTTTTTTTGGGGGGGGGGGAGCGCACTGTCGTCTTTCCTTCTTTAAGTAACTTACCAGTGTCACAAAGCTATTACATAATAGTGCCAGAATTCAATCCCATATTTGTCAGACCTCAGAATCCAGTATTCAAACACCAATTAATACAATGGAAAGCTCTTTTTGACAATCCATGGGCAGAAAGATGAGTTCATATGTGTCTTGCATATATATGGTAGAAATCAGATGATATACTATAACCTGCACAAGGTAAACTTACGGAAATTATTTTTAAACATAGAAAGCGAACCAATATAAAACTGAATCCTAAGAAACTAGAAGGTAGTATAGTCTCAGACAAGTTACTTAATTTTAATCTAACCCTCAGTTTTCTCTTCTGTAGAACAATACTTCCCTCATCTCTCAGGACAGTAGGAAGAAAATAAAGCACATGAAGTACAAACAATAACTAGTACTTCCTGATCCTCAATAAACAGTAGAGCTCCTATCATCATCATTATCATCACCATCATCATCATTATCATCATCACCATCATGCCTTAACAATTTGATATTAATTTTGAATAGCAATACAGCAATTCATGCTTAAATAGTAAAATTAATAAATTTAGATTCCACATTCAATGTTCTTTAGTGAGATTGAAGAATGAATTAGAAAACATCTCACTGAAGAACCAAGATGGCGGCATAGGTTAACGCTGGAGTTTGCCGCCTCGAACAACCATTTCAAAAGTGAAACTAAAAGACGGAAGGGACATCATTCAGAACCACAGGAACGGTGGCTGAGTGGAAGTCCTACAACTAGGAGGAAAGAGTAACGCATTCGGACACTCAGAGGAGGCGCAGTGCTGAAGGCAAATTCTGAGGTGCGGCGTGCGCGG